GAAACATGGTCAAAAGGATGAGAAATTTTCCCTACCATTGTTTCAAAATATAGCAAGTATGCAATGCCTCAAGACAGCATTAAGTAAAGTGCAAAAAACAGATAAGTGAGTGTTTTTCTTCACCACTTAAGTTATGCCTTTTTCTTCCTGCTGCTATGTGACCTCTCCCAATCTGAACACCAGGAAGCCACCAAGCCATTTAGTGGTTTAATAAATAAGCATGTCAGCACTCTTGCTAGAGGATATTTTTTCCTAGACTGTGTCTTTTTTTTTCTCTCTCTCCCCTTCTTTGAGGATTTTATTTTTCTGAATTACCTTCTATTAATCACAAGAATCAGTGCTGACAAACTCTACTTTAGTGTAACATGGCATCTGTCTGCTGGCTCAGCTGGGCATTGCCAAGATATCAACACAAGGACATATTTAATCTTTCATTTTAAATGACAAGTCCTGGGTAGCTGAAAGAAAGCAGACTGAGGTACAGCAGGAATTCCTGTGATCCAAGTCAAGTAAAAATAGTTGCTCTAAAAGATTGCCTCCTTGGCCTGTTCAAGACCAAGTTAAATGATGATCCATTTATGTGGTTTGAGCTGACCTGTTCCCTTCTCCTGCTGCTCCCTTCCCGTCTGAGCAGTGCAGGAGGCACTCTGGTGAACAGCAGACAGACCAATAGATCCAGGACACAAGCACCCTGTAGCAAGGAGGAAGGACCAATCTAGGAGTAGTAGTTTGTGCTTCTGGGATATGTATAAAATGTTCCTTGGCTTTGAAAAGGACTAGAAGTGTTCCCACAAGCAACCTGTCTCAGTGAAAAAGAATAAACTGATCCATCTGCATGCAAGCAGACAGTTGATTTGGTCAGACAAAAATTATTATCCTGGGAGAAATTAAGAAAGCTTGATTTAATTTTCCTGGTGAATACTCTTAAATGTTTTATCTGCCTTTTCCTCAGAGGAGACACATATTTGCCCTAAAATTGTTCTCTGATTCAGCTTCTCTTATGCAACAACCTGATCCTTTACTGAACAAATTTCTTTGACAAGAGGATGTAGGCTGGCAGATTTTGTATGGATAGAGACTGCATCAGTGTTAATGGCTGTATGGCATAGGCTTGGAGTTGTTTCCTGACAGCTTAACAACACAGCAATGGAGTCTGCTGAAAACACAGAGCTCTGTTGCTAAAACGAATATGGAAACTAAAATCCTAAGTCTGTAGTTCCTAGGTTTCCTAAGGGAGTTTTGGGTCACTGCAGAGAGCTTGCATACTTTAGTAGCCGAATTGCACCTTAAAGTTTCACTTCTCTGTCTAGCTTCTGTGGAAGTAGAACAGAAACTCACACAGAAGTGTTTGGGAGACTGAGAGTGATAGAGCAAGGACCCTTGAGATGAGTGTGGTGCCCCCAGGCCAAAGCTTGCCCAATCAGATGTGTTTCCCTCTGGTCACAGTGCTGACCATGAAGAACTGTGATTCAGAAACAGGCAGATAAAATCTCCCCTTGTTTGTTAAGACAAATGAGCAGGTGTGCACAGCAGTTTTACAGATTCCTCATCAGTACCTTTCTTTTTCATACATATTTTGCACATTCACTGCCAAATATACTACCAGGAACTACTCTTACTGGACTTTAAGTCAAATTTCATCCTTCCTGTCTTGACAACACCTGTTCCTTTCTCTACTGGCTGATGCTAGTGAGAGCCCAAATTCTGTCTAATTATCTGCGTCTTGATTTCTCTCCCAAGCTGCATGGATATGTCTCTTAAGGAAAAACTTTTTAGCTTCATTCCTGTAGTATTATTTGGTTCTCTTTATTGCAAAACTCCTGTCATCTACCAAACTCTATTCAGAGTTGAAATGAACAGCAAATAAAAGGAAACAAGAAGTCAGCACAGTGCTGCACAGAATGGAGCTGGCATGCTCAGAGATGGATGAATAGCCACTGAGCCCCAATAGTGCTGATGGAGCTGCCCTGCAGCTGTTCTGGTTGAGTTACTTCATCACTGCTGTACAGATGACTATGAATGTAAAACTTAAACTGTACTAATGGCAGCAGGAACTGGTACTGTCTAAGCCTTTAAAACATGTCTATGGATGTGAACATGCTTGAATACTCATTTTTTTAATCCAAGGGTGATTATGAAGTTGCCATGTTCTTCATGTAAATCAAGTCTCAGGTCCATGCTATAGAAGATACGACCTGTCACCAAAAACAGTGAGGAATGAAGTCTACTCATGATACTTATTTATTTTGTGAGATGTGTAGGAAATACATAATTTTCATATGCATGTTAATTTCTAGGCCTCAGACTTTCATTACTTTTTCCTAGTTATGTACCTTTATTACCACTGTAATGCTCACTTCTTAATCTTTTGAGTGTTGCCACATCAATGGGGAATATGTCTTACAAGTGGAGAACTTAATACCAGTGCCTTCCAAGGGGTGTGCAGAATGCTAGTTGTGGCACAAGTGTGAAATTAGGTAGGCCACATCTCCACTGAGCATCCTAGTCACCAGGCTACGCTTTCTTGGTGGGTTCTTCTAGGCTGCACATGCATCAGCATTTCATCAGAGAGCAGTAGTATGATTGTTAGTGAGCTCATCCCTCTCTCCTCTGGCTCATTTGATTCAGGTATGGAGTTTCACACTACAGATGTACTTTTGAGTTGCATGCAAGAGTGCTTTTGGAGGAAACCAAACCAGAAACTCTGCTGCAGGGTCACATGAAACACTCTTAAAACCCTAGCACAATCATAAATATCCAAATCAAGTAGTACTCCTTATAACAGTATAGTAACATTCACTCCAAGGAATTGGACTAAATCTAGTCAGACATTAAATCCTGGAAGTATTTATAACATATACTTAGATATTTCAGCACCAGCTGCTCCCATCCTCTGATCCAGTCTGACAGCTACAAGGTAATGTGGAGGCATCCATTCATGGATAACATGCAAAGGCTTCACACTTCCAAATACATAGCAGAAAAAGATGCACAGTAGCTTGGGTATGAATTGAAGTTTTAGTGAAACAGTATAAAAAGTCACACAGCTCTATTTCACATCTGGTTTTGGATAGCAGGAGAGCCTATTGATATTAGTAGACAATCAAAGACCTATTATGCTGAAACATTTTATATACAGATATACAAAGAGGAGGATCCTTTTGGCCTGGGATTAGCATGAATAAAGCTATCAAAGAGAGTTGGGAAGAAAAAAAAATCAGAAAAAAATAACTCAGGGAAGAATAAACTAGTTGCTTTTTCTGCAGCTTCACTTCCAAAGCAGCAATGATCTATGAGAACCCCATAAAACATAGAGATGAATGCAAAGAAGGGATCAATCCTGTGGTAAAGTCACAGGTTTAGAGTTCTGACTTTGTGGACTGTTTCAGAGTGTGGAGAACACAAGAAAAAGGGTCTCAATTACATTACCCCTCCCACTGGTTTTAATGCAGTTCTCAAACCTTCCTGGGGGCTGCCCATTGGCTCTGTGGACCACATAGACAACATAGCTCAGCAGGCAGGAAGAAGGGTAAGCTCCAGAGAACCTGTGCTGGAAAGCATTAAAAGCATTTTCAGGATTTTTGTGGGCACATAAGTTCCACCAGCACTTTTTAATATTCTTTTCCCAGAGCAAAAGAAGTCTGCAAAACTGCAGCTGCAACCAGCCAGTATTATTAGATGGAAAGGTGCAGGTCTGTTGTGAAAGTCTCTCAATTACAGCTCCAGCTAACACTGTTAGCATGTGTCACTGTCCACTGGAACAACAAATCACAAAGGGCATCTTTTTGTGTGCACATATCTTTTTTTGCATACGTAATCATACCACAACTGTGGTACATACACAAGCAGTAGCAGGTTGAAGAGATACAATAAAGATTGTAGACTCAAGTAGCAGCAGAGGGCATGAATAACCATCCTTGTATTGACCAAGGGCTGCAGAGCCTTTTCAAGACGTATTATTACATGAGAGACCTATTTCAAATTTAGTGGGCATGCACTGTGCTGTGGTAGCTTAAGGAACATTATTCTATGTTCAGCAGAGCTACAGGAGATGATATACAAACCCTTACACATCCTGCTTCTCTATAGAGGAGATCATGTAACCCCTGTAATTTAATTTCACTACTTAGGAAATATTTAATCTGACTCTAGCCCAACATTATTTAATTACTGCCATTGCTATGGAAATTCCAGTAGCAATCAAGCAGCTGTGTGTGACTAGATACACTTAAATAAGATTGTCGCTGAAGGTGAAGTCAGGAGATATGTTCTTACCTTCTTCAAGGCCTAAGCTTCTACAGAAATAAAAGTGCAGAGTTTCTCCCAGACAGGCTGCCCACACCATGCCCTGCGAGCTGTGCTTGTGACCTCATGTGATCCAATAAGCAGGGGTAACTACTGCCTACATGACAAAACAGCATTCTCCAATGACATACTCTTAGTTGGGGGTCTAGATGGTCTTATTTACCCTGACCTTTGGATGCACAGAAGAGATGAAAAGTCCTCTGGCTTCTCCTAGAGACAGGACAAGCTCACACAGGGAATGGTGTGAGCACAGGCACACTTTCAGCACAACAGTACAGGTGAGCATGGAGCAACTAGTATCGAGGGACTGCTTGGAGGTGACAAGGGCCATCCCACCACCCCATCAGGAGCCAGGGCAGCTCTGCCACTGGGAACCACCCTAGGGACAGGGATGGACATTGAGCACTCTGAAATGGAGTATGTTCTTCCTGAGCCAGGGTACACTGCATCATTGAGCACCCCTTGCATTTTCCCCCAGAGGTAGCTGCCTCTATGCAGCACACAGATGTTGTCTCCAGCTGGCAAAGATATTTGTCAGTCATGGTTTTTGTAGCCTTTCTACGTTCTTTAACAACACTGACAAAACACCAGGCTGGTTACAGAGTGTTGTGAGTAGAAATGGATCCAATCAAAGCAAAGCAACCTCTCAGCCATGCGTATTCTCCCATGGGCAATAAATGTCTTTGGTTTTGTAGGTGCGGGAGGATTGGCTATGCTGCTGAGGGACCCATCGGGACCATGCTCCTGTGAAAGTTCTGAAGCCAAGGAGGGTGCAGGGGTAAGTCTCCTCTCATAGTGTCCTTGTGGGAGGCACAGGGACCTGCACTGTGCTCAAACATAATTCTTGATGGACCCTACACTCAGTGGAGTGCATCGCATCTTCAACTACAAGGAGGCTGTCAAGCTGGGAGTAGTTTAGCACAGCAGATGTCAGTGGTGTAAACTGTATTCACCTGGCTTCCGCAGGGCCTCTTTCTAAATATCTACAAGTCCAGCGCAATGGCTAGGATAAGGAGAACTTTCAACAAAAGTGAATAGCTTGAAAAGTTTGGTTAAATAATCCTGGCAGTTCATGGAAGATGGTGTCAAACCAATGCTCTATCCTTCCTCACTGTCAGTCTGTCTCCCACACATCTTCCCCTTGCATGTCCTATTCTCTTCTTCTCAGGCTCCCCTGCAAATACTGCTACCCCACCTCCTTTCAGCTGCTGGGCAGCTTCTTGTGAGCAGCTTGTCAGCATGAGGAGGGCAAGTGTCTGAGAAGCACTGCACTCAGCAGGTAGCCTGGTGTAGTGGGGTGGCACGTGGAAAGGCTGTTTTGCTGGAAAGGCCGTGACAGGAACGCTCCTTTTTCTTTGTCATACTCACTGTGATCATGTGCAGCCATGTGTTTTTAACAGCAGCAAATGAAATTGTCAGTAAGATAAAGAGTGGAAAGGCAGTGAATGGGCAAGTGAATTCCTGCAGGGCCAAGATATTCATAGTCATAGTTCGACATTGATGAAGAAGTTTTTGTCTGAAGCCAAAACCAGCCATGTTAAAAAACTAGAGGTGTCTCCAAGAATTTTGCACCATAGACTAGACATTTATAAAGAGGCAAACTTGAGTATACACAGGCCACATTAATGCCTAATTTTATTTTAATCTTTCACACTTTTAAAATTAAATTAAACAGCAATCTAGGCTCTTAAATAGGTTCATATGAGACTGATGAAGCATATTTCATACATCTGCTATAAAAGTAGATTTGTTTGAGATTTTTTAATTACAGTTAGTTAAATTTCTTTAGAGAAGCATTTAAAAATAAAATGCAGCAAATTTATGTCTTTTTCTGGTCTGTGAGTGAAAACAGACCAGATGATGATGAGATGATGAGAAGCTCACATCAGCTACCTTTAAGATATTAAATGCCATGGTGAATAATAAGCTCAAGCCAGCATCTACATAACTTCTTTTTCTGAATGAGGAAAATGTAAACACAAAACACATTTTGATTTTTCTTACAATATTTACTTCTTTCTTTTACTTGCTAAAAAAATAATTTTCTCAAAATCCAGATTTCCTACAGGCTTTATTTTCTTGTTTTCTACAGTGCTGATAAAATCCAAATGGTGCTGGAACAAGATGAGTTTTTAAAATACCAAAACAAAAGAGATCTACTAATAACAAATACAAATCTGACTACATGTAGTTAACAATTTAGAATGGACAACATAACACAGAATTTCACACTCCTGGGTATCAAAAACAATGACCAAATGTAAGGTTAAATCTATATAAAGCATCAAATCAACACATCCTCAGAGAAACCAGTCAATAAGAAACTACTTTTCATTAGGGAAAAAATTTATAACACGAGCAGTAAAACTAAGGTCCAAATTGATAGTGCAAAGAAGTCAAAATGAAACCTCTTCATGTTGTGGTTAAATCAGATATTTAAATTATTCTGACTGGAGCTGTAGCATGGACTTGCGCAGGTATTCCCAGACATTGTACCCTGGTTGCTATCAGTGCTCTGCTCAATGTAGTGTCACTTCGTGGCAGCTCTACTGTCACAAGCAGGACCTCTGGGGCCACTGGGAAAGCTCTCAGATGGAGTTTAATCAGCCCGTAACATTCTCTAGCTTAAGTTAAGGTCATACTTAAGGAAGAGGAGGGAAAATGTTCAATGACTGTGGAATGCAATTTGTTTTAATAGTACAGTACCTCAAATGCTAGGGAGTGTGACATCAGACAGAATAAAATATGACTTAGCATTGTTTCCTCCCTGGTTTTGAAAAGGAGTTGTCATTTTTTTAATAAAAACCCCCTGCTGAAGGAAGAGGTTTAATGACATAATTTTGCAAATGGGAGGCTGACTCAGTGTTGCCACTAATGCAGCGTGAGCAGAATCAGCAAAATGCCAGCACAGGAAAGTCAATAAAGTCCATGAGAGTATCCTTATGTACATGGAAAAAAGATTAATTTAGTCATAGAAAATGATAAAGAGCTAAAATTTTCTTCAATGAAGCGCTAACAATTTGTGAAAAGGACAATTCTGGTGTTTGAGGAAAAGATCATATGGAGCAGATAGCCATAAACTCTTCCAGGTTTGCTGAGAGAGATATCCAAAATTATTGTCCTTTCTATTGTTAAAATGTCAAGTGGGCAATGCTATTTTCACATAAAAAAACTATCAGTTCTAGATTAACTCTAAAAATAATCTATGCAGACCTAGTTGCAGTATAGTTTCAATAATATTTTCAATTAATAGAAACAGGAAAGAAAAATACTCATATCTCTTTTATTTTCAACAACAAACTCACTCCAAGGGGAGGCCTGGGCCATCATAAAGTTCCCTTCCCTATAATGAACTATTAACAAAGAAGCAACAATCTACACTTAGGTCCTGATTGTGCTATTGGCTGCATGGTTCAAGTCAATGGTAATTAGTGTAACTAACAAAAAACTGTAGAAAATTCTTATATCAAACACATAATGACATACATAATCAGTGAAGACAGGATATGGATCAGTAAACTAGTGCTAGTAAACTTGAAACACTCTCCCTCACCAGAGGGGGGATTTGTAGTCCTCCCTAAGAGCAATTCCATGTAACATGCTCTGAACTAGCCAAACTGGACCTATTGTTGAACAAGCCCAAGTTTGTGAGCAATCTTGGAGGGTTTGTTATGTTACTTCCTTCATTTCTAAATAGCAAAATGCTGCGTCTTCATTGCTGCATTTAAAACACATCCTGTTATGCCTGCAGCTCTCTTTAGAGTTCAGGTTCAGAATACCCTGTACTTCATTACTGAGCCATTCTTGCAGCTTTTGCTTAGAAAGTGTATGTGTGTGGAAGCAGCATAAAATGCATCTGATCGTCTTTATATTTCCACCATTGTTGCTGCTAACTGGTAACAAGGAAGAAGATGTACATGTACAACATCTGGTTTTTTCTGTAATACTACTGTACAGAAGATTGAGAAATTTTCTTGGTGAACAACTTCTAATTTCAACAAAGCCTCTAGGACCATGAAAAAGATCAGCAGTAGGCTGAATTTGTCTTGCAGTGCTAATATTTTGGTGTCATATTTTATCAGAAATATAGAACATTCATTTTCTTTTTCATTGGTGTTATAAAATATTTTATCACCAAAGAACCTGAGTCCATAAATTTATGGAAAAAAATAATTAATTTTACTGTACAGCTGCTTAAAAACAAACAATTCAAGCGGATCTAGGATATGCCCCTTCCCCTCAGGCTCCCTTTTGTCCTACTGCCATAAATGTGTTGTGGATGAAGACTTTCCAGAAAACGCAAGATGGCAGAGGTTTTGATATTTTCAGCACTCTGGATCGGTTTATAATGGAAATGCTTTTTCTTCATAGTAAAAGTATCTGAAGATTGCAAGGCCAGGGAGCAAAAATCCCTGGACATATTTCGATGTGTAAGCCTGCATGGGCTTATATCCCCTTCTTCCTGACTCTTAAGTTTCAGATATATCTCGCTGCTATGCCCACCATGATCACTGCTGGTTACTGCTGAAGTTCAGAGACAGTGGGCAGCAAAACACCAAGGAAAGTTACCAGCCAACTTTAAAGAGCAAAATAGTTTATTTCCTGCAGCTGATGCTTTCCCCAGCTGGCTCCTGCCTGCTCTCGTCTTTCCCAGGCTGCACTGTCCATCCCTGGTCCTGTCCAAAGCTTACCTCATGCTGAAGTCAGCAGAGCTGGGCAGGGTGATGGAGAGGAGGATTCATCTGGATTAGTGAACTGCATGCCACAGAACACAGCTAAGAGTTCGTTTCCAGTTACTTCTGCTCACTGCTCTCGAGTGCATCTTTGTATCATTATGGAGGCAGGCAACATTGGTCAGGGAAACCAGAGATTTGTCAGTCATTCAAAGCGATCAAACATATGTTTGTCCCCTGGCACTGTAATTTTATTTTTGTGACTCTGCATGGAAACTCTCTGAGTAACAACACTTTCAAGCTGTGCACCTGTGTAAAAAATGTCCCCCTACCTCCATATCCAAAGACAAATACGACTGCCTGCTCCAACAGTGAGTTAGACATTAAAATGTGCATCAGTTTTGTAGCGCAGAGATGTATTTCCATACCACATACTGTGTATATTTAATCAGCAGACCTATTATCAGGTTCTTGTATCGTCTTATTATAGCTTCACTTTGCCTGATAGCACTTCTGATGATCAGAAAACACAGTCAAGCTAAGACCTCAGCTTATTGCAGGGACAGCCAGTCCTTCACTTGGCCATAGGTTTGGTCATTGGGCCTGTTCCCTTCCTAATTCAAGAAAAGGATACATTTTTAGGAAACTGTGTTACTGTTATTTAAGGGGAAAAAATATATTTCTAGTCATGAGACAAATTTCTTCTTTGAAACCATTAACCATTTCTTTAAAATATTACCCACTTGTCTCTGACTTTCTGAGAACCTTTAGGTAGTCTTGGTTTTCTCAGTCACTTCTCGTGTTGCCATCCACGCTGCAGCAGACGACACATTCCAGCTGGAGGCATTTAACACCGTTTCAATAGTACCAGAAGGAATAAGCATCCAGCCTTTCTCTTGTGAGGGCCTGGTAAAATGTGTTGAGAAGGCAGATTAACTGCTGAAGATTAGCACTTCAATGTGCAAAACTCGGAAGATTGAAAGAATTTGCAGGACCATTCACAAACTATAGCAACATAAAGGTGAAAATGTTAGGAGTATGGGAAGAGGGTCCTGATGTACTGTGTAGTAGGGGTTTCAGTCACTGCAGGCTTACAGTAGTTCCA